CTACCATTGTCACTCCTTTAAGGAACAGAGAGTGTAATCTTGCATGAGCTTTTTGCACCATACTATGTAATAATTATTTCATTAGGATAAGGTAATTCTGTAGTTATTCCAATGACACAATATCAAAGTTATCACAGAGAGAATCTACAGTGCATTATATTTGGAGATTAGGCTACAGAGATACCCTTAACGTATTCACGACTTTGAAGAACTGGGGACTCTACCTTAATAACTAACTAAAGTCTAACACATTGTATGTTACATTCCTATAAGTTATGGAGGGTCATAATTCCAGAATTTCTTTCAAGATATCCACATCTGGCAGTTTGAGAGAGACAGCCTTTGTATTGCCCAGTGTTTCCTCTTCCTGGGTCCACAAGCTTCATATCCTAGACTATCTTTGCAGCTGGGCTGGGGCATTTCCGCTGAAGGTGACATATGTCATGTGCAGGCATGGCCTTTAAAAAACATGGTGCCACATCCTAGCAATCAGTTTCCCCTGCTTCAGCAATGTGTCCCAGTTAGCTTAGATATAAAATGTGAAATGCTACTTAAGCCACATCAGATTTTCCACTAATAAGAAATAAACTTAATAAACCTAATCTCAGATAAGCCTCTCATATCTGGAGCTGATCATTACTGTAACACAGATGTGGGAGGAACTGAGGTACAGAGGCAATATGATAGATTAGTGCCTTGGCCAACTGAAAGCAATAAAAATACCAAAAAAAAAAAAATTAAGAGACTCTTCTAAAATGCATCAAATGTACCTGTTTAGAAAAAAGAATTCTAGGAGGCAGAGGTTGCAGTGAGCTGAGATCGTGCCACTGCAGTACAGCCAGGGTGACAGAGGGAGACTCTGTCTCGAAAAAGAAAAATTATTTCCAGAAGTCAAAAACTGTGTTTTTATATAAAAAGAAGGTCCAAAGCTAACTTTCATCTGGACAGTGTTTAGCAGAACATATGAACTTGATCTTCAGTTTCTAAAGCCTCCAAGTATGGAAGTTTACTGGAAGAAAAGGCCCAAGGCCTGCCCAAGGTGGACATCTAAAAGGCGGTTGTACCACATAAAGCAGAGCTCCTAAATATCAGGATGAACATAAATAGCACTCCCACTGGACTGCTAGAAAGAGTGGCCAACCAAACTTTGGCACTCCATTGCTGAGGAGATGAAAAAAGTCTCCCCTGAGCATTTGTAACCAGACGTCAAATTCCCAGCAGAATTACACTCAGAATCTACACTGACAAATGTGGTCCAAAAAAGTCTCAGACAAAGTGTCCTAAGTAGTTACTGTTCCCACAGAACTGGGCTAGAAGTTCACTCAGCAGCCAGGAAAAAGCAAATGTAAATTCTCCTTGAATTTACTTTTAACCCAGGCCTCAAATAATTCCCACACTTGAAGTTCTCAGAAATGTGAGGTCCTGGCCAAAAATCATAAAACACAGAAGGAATTAAGGTCACGAACTATGAAAGCAAAAGTGAACATAAAAGGCAGCTGGCTTACATTAGAATTGTTCTAGACTATAAAATCAATTTGATAATTATGTCTTCAGAAAGAGCCCCTTGAAAATGTGAGTAAAGGGCAAGCATGTAAGAAAGAAGAATCATGGCGGGAATGAAAAACGCAGAGGTGGGTCTAGCAGCAGAGAGGTATAGCTGAAGCGGGACAGTGCATAGAACACAGAGGTGGTGAAGAACTTCAGAATGCAGCCCAGAGAGATTAAGACATAGGAAATATGAAAGTGCTGAGATGTATATGATACAAGGAGAGGATATTAAATACATTTAATTGGAGGAACAGAAGAAATAGGAAAAAGAATAGGGCAATATCTGAAACGTAATGGTTGAGAGTTTTCCAGAACTGATGACAGACAGCAATCTATAGATGGAAGGAAATCCAATGGATCCCAAGCCAAATGCATTTCAGAAAGCTCATAATTATACCAATTATAAGGAAAATACAGAAACCCCAAACAGTAAAATATCTTAATGCAGAAGTCATATTTTAGATGTGGCTTTTTCTATCAGTGAATCTGCCAATTATACTTTTAAAAAGTATTATACTGCATCTTTAACTAGTAATATATTGACCAGAGCATCTATACAGAGACAAGCTACAATTGAATACTTTAGCTGTCATACCATCAATTCAATGCAATATAACAAAGCTCAATGCTTCACAATAGCAGTAAGTTTCAAACTTCAGAAACTGTTGGGAATCTATGATATTTCACAAACATATGATTTGATAACAAATCTAAACAGCGTATCTGTGCACCTCACACTGCTAACTGAAATCTCTTAATGACTTTCCAAAACCTGTGGCAAAAGGAAGTTCACATTCCACCGTGTGGAATTTAAGGCTCTTCACAATCAGTATCCCATTAGTTTTCTAGTCTTATCTTCTGGCATTTTCCATACCACACCCCATATTTTATCTGCACAGTTACCTGTAAATCCAACAACATATCCTGCATCTCCGTATTTTTTTGCTGGCTCCTCTTGACTTGAATAACTTTCCCATAGTCATCCATAGCAAGCATCTACTCATCATTGAAGATTCTGTTCAACTGTAAGCTCAGTAGCAGGTAGGTTGCATGAAAGGAAGGATTTCTGTTTATATTGTCAACTGCTCTATCCCTAGAAAGGAGCCTGGCAAATAGCAAGTACTCAGGAATTATTTGTTGAACTGAGTGAATAAAATGTGCCCCAGTTTTCTATTCTTTCATTTTTTGGTACTAATCTTTGAACACTGCGTTGCGATTACATTTTTATAAACGTCTCCTTCATTGCACTTAATCTGCAGAGCAAAGATAATATACAACTATTTGTTTTTATCCTTAATTGCCACACAGAGCAACAAATACATAGAAGGCAGTTTGTAACTGTTGACTAAATAAATGAATAGTATAGTTTGAAATTTGAATTCTGCTCCTCCCCTTCCATACTTTTCCAGAAAGCAACATGGCTAGGACATGCAAAGATCCAGAAAAAAAATGCAACTGACTAAAGAATAGTGAGGATGCTTTAACCACCCTCGATCCAGTGCGTTAACCAAACCACAATTTCTAGCAATGCCATGCTACAGATGGTGGATAGTGACAGGGTAGAAGCAAAATGTCAATAATACACTATGATGAGAGTGAAAATGGAAAGAACTGTCCATTAACTTTACAAAGAAGTTACCAAATGATATTTTTAAACTGAAATCCAGTAAACCTCATAAAATTTGTATGTTTAGTAAGAAATCTGTTCTATGCGCTACATTGATAGAAAATGTCCTTAGGCACAGGCAAGTACTTCATGACTAAAACACCAAAAGCATTGGCAACAAAAGCCAAAATAGACAAATGGGACCTAATCAAACTCCACAGCTTCTGCACAGCTAAAGAAACAATTATTAGAGTGAACCAAAAACCAACAGAATGGGAAAAATTTTTGCAATCTACCCATCTGAAGAAGGGCTAATATCCAGAATCTACAAAGAACTAAAACAGATTTACAAGAAAAAAACAAGCCCATTCAAAAGTGGGCTAAGGATATGAACAGACAGGCACTTTTCAAAAGAAGACATATGAGGCGAAGAAACATATGAAAAAGTGCTCATCATCACTGGTCATTAGAGAAATGCAAATCAAAACTACATTGAGATACCATCTCATGCCAGTTAAAATGGCAATCATTAAAAAATCTGGAGACAATGGATGCTGGAAAGGATGTGGAAAATTAGGAACACTTTACACTGTTGGTGGGAGTGTAAACTAGTTCAACCATTGTGGGAGACAGAGCGGTGCTTCCTCAAGGACCTAGAAATAGAAATTCCATTTAACCCAGCAATCCCATTACTGGGTATATACCCAAAGGATTATAAATCATTCCATTATAAAGACATATGCACACATATGTTCATAGCAGCACTGTTTACAATAGCAAAGACTGGGAACCAACCCAAATGCCCATTGACGATAGACTGGAAAAGGAAAATGTGGCACATGTACACCATGGAATACTATGCAGCCATAAAAAATGATGAGTTTGTGTCCTTTGTAGGAACATGGATGAATCTGGAAACCATCATTGTCAGCAAACTGACACAAGAACAGAAAACCAAACACCACATGTTGTCACTCATAGGCAGGTGCTGAACAATGAGAACACATGAATACAAGGAGGGGAGCACCACACTCTGGGGTCTGTTGGGAGGGGCCAAGGGAGGGACAGTGGTGGGGGGTTGGGGAGGTCGGGGAGGGATGAAAAGGGGAGCAATGCCAGATGTGGGTGACAGGGAGATAGAGATAGCAAACCACATTGCCATGTGTGTACCTATGCAGCAATCCTGCATGATCTGCACATGTACCCCAGGACCTAAAGTACAATCAGAAAAAAAAAAAATCACAAAAAAAAAAAAAAAAGAAAATGTCCGTAATGTTTATCATTGGAAATGAACGACTTCATCATTAGAAATGATTCTGAGACAGAGAAACTAATCACCAGGCAACTTATGAATAATAAAGCTAAAGATTTTCTTCTAAGTGCCAAACAAATCCAGTTTCCAATTATATCCAATTATAATGACAATAGTCAAAATATATAAGAATTATGTTCGCAACATGTGCCAAGCCTGTGTTTCCCCTGTTGAAGTTGTTCTCAAATGTCATTCACATTCAGCTGTTCAAAACACAAAAGTGCTCAATTTAATTCTTAGTCAATTTAAAGTTACAACATTTTCACTTGTTTTCTAGGCATGATAAACTGAAAACTTTCAGGCTTCTCCTCCACATTTTTGTTGGTCAATGACCAGAGGCAGAAAATTAAAGTGGCCACAAGAAAGCACACATGTTCAATTCCACTCACAGTTCAGACCCAAGCAGGGCCAATGTTTCCTTCTAGTGAGGAATGTTTCCTTTTACTCAAGTGTTTCTACTCAATGTTTCCTTCTACTCTAGTGTTAGAAGCTTTGTGAAGGAAAGAGCTCACATTAGATTCGCTTTTGACTTACTGGTTGGAGCAGGTAGATCAGAGATTCCTCTTGGATTATTATAATTGGAAAAGGAGTGATGTGAGTCGCTTGGAACAGGGTATTCACAGATGCCATAATCTGGTCAAAACGCCCAGCAAGGCCTCCCAGTGTCACGATCACGTCAACCTAAGCAAGGCAGGCAAAATTGGGAGTCACATATCTTAAAAGTTTTAAATAATTAAACAGTATCAAACACCTAAATAGAGCTTTCAATACTACATCTGATTTGATAAGCAATAAACAGATACATTTCCAGTCTTTAGATAATGAAATTAAGCTGCAAGTTCAAGGTCACATAACTAATAAGTGACAGTGCCTGGTGTGAAAACCAATGCTTTTAAGTACATATTATAAGTTTTTCCCATTTGTCTATTCACTTAGAACATTAGCCATCTCTTCTTTTAAAACTCTGCTTATGTGTTCCTTTTCATGTGGAAGCCTTCTCTGATTTACAATTATGAGTAAAGCTGATATATTAATCATGAGAAAGAAAAGATGGAAGATCTTAATTAAAATATTACATAAAATATATATAATAAAACTGATAGTAATAATCATTCTATCTAGTATAAAAGAGAAGTAAAAATACAGAATATTGGTGTTTATGTTTTAAAATAATGTATTAAAAAGGCTTAGATAATGTGTGATCCATAAAGATGGCATGGCTTTAGAATAATAACCTGTTAACCAAGCACCAGTAGACCCTATTCGATTCCTAGAGAAATCAGTAAGTTGTACCAGGTCATGAAGCCAAATGTGTGTTTCTCTGGTTCAATGGTTATACCTGGGATTTTGCATAGTGCTTTGCATCCAAGATGCTCAAGTTTGATGAATGAATAGATGAAGACATTGCAAGAAAAGACTCATTAGCCTAAGAAAGTAATAGATTAATTGCCATACTGTGGGAATATATGCATCAAAATAGGATTCCATGACAACACTAAAAGTAAATTACAGAGAATAATCAAGTTCTGAAATGAGTTTCCTATCTCTGCACTTACTGGAATGTAGGAAGAATGGGAATTTTTACTCTGGGTAACATGCTTTGCATTAAGCTTAAAATATTTTAAGACAGGCAAACAAATAACTAAAAGAGTATAACTGGATTATTTGCAACACAAAGGATAAATGCTTGAAGGGATAAATCCATGCTGTGATTACTACACATTGCATGCCTGTACCAAAATATCTGTATGTTCTCCAGAAATATATACACCTAGTATATATTAAAAAATTAAAAAGTAAAGAAACCAGGCAAACCATAAATCTAAGGGATCTTTCCAGAATTTGAAGAATTAGGTTTTGTGGCTCAGAAAGACCATGTACTCTGGGAAGTATGTATTACTCCGAATACACAGGCAATGCCCGGGACATCTGCTAATATTCAGAGGAGAGAGTTAACTTGCAATCAGTTAGACATAGACTTACCAAAGGGATGGCTTCTCTTTGTGATATCAAGTTAGGTAAATGATTTCTATTTATGTTTAGGAGGCCTTATTAAGAGGGCCTCTACAGACCAGTTGAGAAAGGCCCACAGATTATTTATGACTTCAGGAAAACTAGAGAGTTTGCTTTAAACTGAAGAAAAATACATCAAAAATAAGTTGTATATGGAATACAGAGAAAGTTCTAAAGCTGCAGTAAAAAGTTCACAGCATATTCCTAGCCAGATAATCCTAAATGCATATTGGAAGCAAGGCCTGATAAAAGTTTATTCACTATCCAGAATCTGAAATCCCTTTTTTAGGTTCTCAATTTTTCATTACTATATGCTAAGCCTTGAGGGATCCCATAACCTTTAAGACTGAAATTTAATCCCCATCTTCTACAATGGGATATCATGATGAATAAGCAATATCTGTAAATCAATCATTAAATTTTTCAGAAGAAAGTAACAGCAAGATTACTTCTCATCACTACTCATTTTCCCTACAGGAAGTATTTAGCAAGATTGATAAAAAACACTAGAGCAATGCAAGCTGCAGGTGGGACAGAAAAAGAATTGACTTTGGATCATTTTTGCAGTTCTTTAGTCCTGGCTGTAAGTAGAACATTTGATATTCACAGAGATATCAGAAAGAGGACAGGGTGTTCAGTCTACAATAGACTATTATAGATGGCAAGTGTTCTTTTCTATGTGAATCCAAAGCCCTGTGCATTTATTTCTAACATCATCCAGTCATACCTTGCTATAAACGCTGACGTATTTGTGAATCTCTCCTTCTAGAGGAAGTCTATGAATCACAGCCACTAGCACAGTGTTTGCAATAGAGTAGACAACAGGTATTTACTGAGCTTCCCTTGAGCCTATAAGTACTCAGGAAAAACTAAATAACCAGAGAAGCAAGAAGCTAATTATTAGGCTGAGTTAACATCACCTAACTCCTACAAAATAGTACTTTCCTACTTGGAAATGATTCCAAGAGGTTTGAAAAAAGCAAACACGTCATATTTATTAGCTCAGACACACATTTGATGGTTTTATAAGCTTCATTTATAAGCTAATGACAAGGAAAACTCAATCCATGTTTGCTGATCATATACCATGTGCTAGGAAATATACTAACACTTAGTATATATCAGCAAAGAACACATAAGCCCCTGACTTCATGGAGTTAATATTCAAATGAAGAATAATATACACTTGATAAAAAAGATTTTTTTAAAATGAATATATAAATTAGAATGTGGAAAAGGTGGTCAATGTTAAAAAAGAATACTAGAGAAAGGAAGATTAAAAAATGTTGGTTGGGGTGATGTATCAACTTTAAATAAGATAGCTACAGTGGGCTACATTGGTAAAGTAATAAAGTAGACAAAGACCTGAAAGAAGTTGAGGGAATTAGACACATATATGGATACCTGGGGTGCTTCAGAGAACAGACTATAGTAAAATAGTGACAATGTTACATGGCTCTGGGCACTGGAAAAGAGCTTTAGGAGATAAGTTGCTAGAGCAAAATGAAATATTAGTAGGAGAAATAGGAAAAATCAGAGTAAACTGTTAGTGTTAGATTTGTGTAGAGCTTTGTTAAGTCAATGTAAAGTCCTTGATTTTATCAACATTAAATGGAACCATTTTGGGCCGAGGACTGATATGATCTATCTATCTACAAAAGTCACCATGCTGAGTGTGTTGAGAATAAACTGTGGAAAGGCAAGGAGGAAAGCCAGGAGATAGCAAGGGATTATCATAATAATAGAGATGAGAGATAAGTTTGCTAACCCTTATCACTCCATCAAACATGATTATCCATGGCATCTACACATGATCATCATAGTAATAGAGATAAGAGATAAGTTTGATAGCCCTTATCACTCTATCAAACATGATAACCCATGGGAACTACACAGAAAAACTCACTGGTCAATTCCCAGGCCTTTTATTACTCAATCCCTTAGCAATATCTGACAAGGGGAAAAAAAGTAAGGGCAGCTTAAGAGACTAATGGGACACCATCAAGTATAACAACTTCCACATTATTGGTGTACTAGAAGAACAAGAGACAGAAAAAAGAACAGTAAATATATTTGAAGAAATAATGGCAGAAAACATCCTCAGCCTGTAAAATGAAATAGAAAGCAAATCCAGGAAGCCCAAGATAAATCAAATAAGATAAATCCAAAAGAGACCCACACCAAGACACAGCATAGTCAAATTGTCAAAAGTAAAAGAGTGTTGAAAGCAGCAAGGAAAAAGTGAATTGTCACATGTAAAGGAATCTCCATAAGACTATCAGTGTATTTCTCAGCAGACATATTGCAGACCAGAAGGGAGTTAAATGATATATTCAAAATCCTGAAGGGGGATGGGGGTTGTTCTGTCAACCAAGAATACTACTCCCAGCAATCTTGTCTTTTGAAAATGAAGAGGTAATAAAGACTTACTCAGACAAACAAAAACTGAGAAAGCTTATCACCACTAGACTTACCTTACAAGAAATGCCAAAGGGAGTTCTTCAAGCAGAAGAAGAGAACACGAATTAGTAATATTAAAATATATGAAAGTATAAAATCAAGTATGCTGTCAAATTCAATACACTCCAACACCAAAAAAGTGCTTGGTAAACAATTATACCTCTAGTATAAGGGATGAAAGACAAAATTACTAAAAATAAAACTACAGCTTTAATAATTTTTCAAGTGATTATGTATCAGAAAAATATAAAGTAGGACATTAAAAACATAAAATGTGGGAAGTAGAAGGGTAAATGTGTAGTTTGTGTATGTGATCAAAATTAAGTTATCAATTTAAAATAGCCAGATTTAAGTATAAGATATTTTATGTAAGCCTTAGGTGACTACAAAGCAAAGTCCTATAAGAGATACACAAAAGGTAAAAAGAAAGGATCTAAAGCATACTACTGAGGGAATCATCAAACTACAAAGGAAGAACACAAGAGGAAAAAAAGAACAGAAGACCTAAAATATAACTGCTCTACAGAAAACAGTGAACAAAATGGCACTAGTCCTGAAAATCCTAGCCACCAGAGCAATTAGGCAAGGGAAAGAAATAAAAAGCATCCAAACAGGAAAAGATGAAGTGAAATTGTATCCATTTGTTGATGTCATGATTTTATTAATATATATAGAAAACCCTAAAGAATCTACCAAAAATAGTTTAAACCAATAAGTTCAGTAAAGTTGTAGGATGCAAAATAAAAAATCAATCGTTTCTATGCAGTAACAATGAACTGTCTGAAAAAGAAGAAAATAATCCCATTAGTAATAGGATCAAAAAAACACTTAGGAGTAAATTTAACCAAATTATAAGTGAAAGATCTGCATACTAAAAAGTTTAAAACATTAATAAAAAAATTAAAGATGACACAAATAAATGAAAGGATATCCCACATTCTTGAGTTAGAAGAATTGTTTAAATGTCCGTATTACCCACAATGATCTATAGATTCAATATAATCCCTTTCAAAATTCCAATGCAGTTCTTCACAGAAATAGAAAAAAAATTCTTAAAATTCATATGGAGTCACAAAAGACCAGATAGACAAAGCAATCTTCCATAAAAATAACAAAGCTGGAGGTATCACACTACCAGATTTCAAAATATATTGCAATGTTATAGTAATCAAAACAGCATGATATTGACATAAAAACAGATATATCAA